TTTTATCATTTACTTATTATGCTTCATTAAATACTTATATTAATAAAATTTTATTAAAATAAAACCATTTAAACTGGGTGTTCGGATTTATATGTCACTTAGTATATTTTTGACACAATCTTTTTTGAAAGTGTTTTTCAACCTTCGACCTACAGTAGATAATAATTAAACAGTTCCACGAGCATACTCAAATTCCACCTTCGGTATAAATAAACCAATATGAACCTGAAGCTTCATTAATTCTACGTCTCATAACTCATTTTCTAAAACAAATATCTCGGGTGAAATGCAAAATGACCAGCATTCCAAACAGATGTTACCGCACGTTGTTGTCCTGTTTCCCGTTAATAGCTTGGCATTATCATCACGTCAGCTTCTCTAATGTAGGGATACCCGGACCAGTGGTGGCGGCAGGTCATAGTTGGACGAAGTTGGAATCCAACAACGAACTTAGACAAGTCTAGAATTTGTTTGTCTCCAAAATTTCAGTCCATAGGGGGGGGGGGGCAAGGGGGCAGCTGCTCCTCTCTTTTTCCTAGCTTGGCATAAATTAAATGGGGATAAGATTTTTTACCAAAATTAAATTATTCATGTACAGGGTTCTCCACAAGCTGAATCAGTGTCTGTAAGATGAGAAATTAGATATACACTAAATTTTGCTAAAAGCACTATGTATGTTAGGAGAGTTTTACATTCGAACCTCGCCTTTGGGATCTCGGAAACGGTAAAGCGAATGTCGCACAACGGCAATATTTACTGTGGTCCGTACCATCAGTAGATTTTTACGTAATATTATGCATCAATCATTACATTCTACACAGTCCATAAATATCCCATCTCATGATAAATATATTGAAGAATCACAGTAAAAACTGGTCTTGTGTTGCGTAGGTAAATCAAATGGATAGTTGCACAGTTTGCAAAATTTCAACTCTTTCCGAATTTATTGTAAATCGCTTAAATTTTTTCCTGGCTTTAGTCAGAAACAAAACTTTTCAAACATCGACATTGTCTACAAATTTCAAACAAATTACACAATAACATTACCTTCTCTTCTACATGGCGGCATAATTAGAATATCGATCTGACGTTTCTGCGCTTAGTTTTTTAAATGTTATCATTTTCGATGCCTTCATTATTACCCTTAAATAATATGAATGAGTTACGTCATGTTGCTCCTCATTCGATGAGTTTAATATGAAGTTACGCACTAACATTTCATATCAATGCGTAAGATGTTATCATTTTTGATATTCTAGTAAATACATGACTATATGATAATTTCAAGACTTACTCAGGTTTTTTTTTTATATTAATGTATCACATGCTATAATATGAAATCAGAAGTAAAAGCTTTGCAAAAATGGTATACATGTGAAAAATCAAAGTTCAGATGGGGGATAAGAGACGAAAAATCATATTAATGTTCTACTTATGCCACCTTGCAGAGATCAAAAATTGGCAATGTTTACGTGTAGTTGAAATCCTGTCTCGAATAAATTAAAAAAAAATTAGAAACGATTTTGGAAAAATTCGGTCTTCATTCCGGGTATCTCCATTCATACTCGAAGAGTGAAATCTTTTTAAGCGCGTTTTCTGAAATATAGAAATGTGCAAGTTTGCAACTATTCAACCGACCCGGACCTCTTGCCGTTTCGAAGATAATAATGATGAGAATATGACAAATTTGTTTTCCAAATCATTCTATAACAAACTAGTTAGATACATTTATCTTCCTACATATTCTATAAAACTATTTTTGGTATTATGAAATTTCGAATAATTGTGGAAAAATAACTAATAAATATCGACAAAGAGAAATTATTTCCGGAATTAGTATAACATGCTTATTCCAGGCTATATCAAAGCTTCTTTCTTGAAAGTGGCATATCAAAATATACTAAAAGTCGTACGGTGTTCCATTTAAATAAAATTGATGTCATAGCGGTATGAATCACCCTGTAGGAAGCGGTATATTCCAAGTAGAAAGCGTCTACAATTTTCAAAAATAACATATTTAATTGTTTCATAACTCACCCTGTATGTCTAATTTGTTGCGGTAGTTACGTCGATGGAGAGTTTTAGCATTCTTTAAGTTTTTTTATGTAGATCACTACAAAGGCTCTAACTTTTGGCTACTATTTTATATTTACTCTTATGCATTTTTCGGTAAAAAATAAACGATTTTTGCAATAACGAATTAACTGTTGCAACGTACTGGACATACCCACAAGTTCTCATTTTGAAGGTGTTTTCATCCCTTTCCCAGTATAGACTTATAACTTTGAAGTTTGATAAAAAGGCTACCCAGAATTTTATTTTAATATGAGGAGCCTTGGCTACTCTAAATTATATATAAATCCTTCTGTACAATTTATTTTGAAACTGGGTTCACATTTGCTAGTTAGCCTGATCAAATAAGTTTTGTGATGTTTCTAGATAATATATTGCAACAGCAGTTTCCCGTTTCTTTAACGCAGATTCCACTCCACATATTTTCGAATTTCACACCTGTTTTGTGATTGAAGTTATACAATTTTTGAATCCTTCAAATAAACTCTTGACTAAGGCCCGTATCGTCAGTCGTCCCTACAATTGTAGGGCGCGTTTATGGCCTCCTTGATTGTCATACTCCTTTCTCTCCTTCAAAAATTCCTAGATTACACTTGTCCCGTATCAGCGCCAGCGCTCTCCTATTGTATATGTTTTCTTTTTAAATTGTAGGAAATTTCAGGCTGATAAAACATGATATAACTCAAAAGCAAGCACAATTTGATGCAAATAGATGTTTGTGAGATAACCTCAAAATAGAGTTCTGACACGGAGAAGTAGAAAACTATGACAATCAAGGAGGCCATAAAGGCGCCCTACAATTGTAGGGACGACTGACGATACGGGCCTAAGTCTTAAAATATATCAACAACAAACAAACAAAATTTGACTTCTTTTTGAATTTTGTCTCCTCTAAGGAAATTTTTGATTGCGTTCAAGGACATCAGAAATGAAAGTCAAGTTTGGGGAATTTTTTTCATAATACTGATACCATTAAAACAGGTATTTCAAAATTTCTTCAAAATCCAGTGATACTTTCCAAGTTATAGGAGGTCCAATTATTATATTAGTTTTTACAGTTACTCTATCACAACAAAAACTATAAAGATTTTTTCTGTCTGTAATAGAGGGCCAAGGAATACCCGACGAACGCCACAAAAATGTACCTACTATGTTATGTCTGAAAAGTATTCGTGCATTTAAAGCTACCTTGCGATTACAGCACTTCCCTAGCCTAATGACTTGACTGAAAAAATTATCACCCTATTTGAATTTGCTCAAAAATTATATACAGTGCAACCCGCTTATAATGGACTCGGCGGGACTGTGATAAATTATAGGCGGATGACCATCTTAAAAGAAACACTTTTTTTAATGAAAAAAGCAGCAGAACTAACATATCAACAGCTTAAAATGTGTTTGTTTAACATGTATTACGTAAATAAAGATACATACAAAAAAGTTATAAGTAATTTTGAAATTTGCATTTTTTCAGAATCTGATACACATATTACAGGCATACGTACTGTGTGTAAAAACCGTAAATTATTTGGTGAAAAAGCTGGTAATTTTCAGTTGAACAGATTGTTTTTTTTTTGTATAATTATTTAGAACAGCAAGTTGAATTTTATTTAATTTGGTAAGTGTGACTGTACTGTCTTCTTCTTGCTGAAAATAACGTTGCAACTTTTTCACGCAGTCTAATGCCTCCTTAGTTGTCACTTTTTCATCGTTGATTTCTAGTTCGTCTTCCTGTTCGTTATCAACGGACCCTTCATTAACCAAATTGGACTCATTAAATTTCTCTAGATTCAGTAAACTATTAGATAGATAGATAGATGGATCTTTATTTCCAACAGGTACAATCACCCAATTACAGGAAATAGTTCAAAAAGAAAACAAGAGCAACACGTCATACTATCCCCATAATATTTTTTTTTACATTTTCGATTTGGGCATTACAAGTAATTAAGATGATCGTTTAGATTGTGTTTTTAAACACAGCAATAATTCATAACCCCAAATAAACGCAAAAAAACAGAATATTAATTTGTTTAATTTTCCAATATTATTTTTAACAAATTAAATTAATTATTTACAACTAAAATGCTATTGGCTAGTTAGGACAAACATACAAAATGTAGTTGCTCGAAATGTAAACCCAATTGTTCAATACACAATTCACATCTACGAATGATCGAATGTGGTATAGCATTATTCAAATAAGGCCTTATTTCATCACATGCATTCCTGATTCTGTCTATTAGCATATCTCTTGTGGTTACGGGAGTCTGGTACACTTTTTCTCTTAGAAATCCCCACACAAAGAAATCTAATGGATTTAGGTCAGGGGATCGTGGAGGCCAGGCGACTGGTCCTCCACGGCCGATCCATCTTTCTGGATAATTTTCGTCCAGCCAGCATTTAACCTTGAAGGCAAACTTACAAAAAAAACAGGTAAAAGAAACTGAATTTCGTGCATTCACAATTGCAAAAAAGCGTTTCAGGTTTCAACAGACAACAAAACTAACTGTCAACTAATTGACGTTTAACCTTATTCTGCTTTCAATTTCAAAAATATTTGCAGGCACAGCCTACTTCTAAAAATTATCGAGATACTGACTTTTTAACGTTATTTTATCATAAATAATTAAAAATGCATCGAACCTTAAAAATCGGCATAATCATTAGCTAATTGATTATGTCCTGATTAATTCGGCTGTGATATGGCATAACTTCGATTACATATACAGAGGCGTACCAATTAATGTTTGAACATGTCGCAAACGTGTAGCTGCCGCTCGAAGGTAGTTGATACTCATCTATTGTTATCCTGTTGTGTCTGCAGAAAAAGCTTTTACCATGTATGCGTCAATCTGTCAACTTCAGAAATGCGACTCATAAACTCAAAAAAATCAGTCTCATGGACCTGTGGGAAATGTGAGCAGATGGGGGGAGACATAAATGCCTTGAAAGCAGCTATTGCAGCTCTACAAAATGAGGTAAAAGCGTTGTCAACAAAATATAAAGATACAAAGATGTATGATAGCCAGTTTGAAGATATTGTAGAAGAAGTGTCAGAAAGACAAAATAGAAGATGCAATGTAATCATTTTTGGGTTGAAGGAGCAGAATGGAGCGACAAAAGATGATAAGGCAGTTTTAGAAAAGTCTGAAGTGGTTTAAGTCTTGACCCACGTCGCACCTTCAATTACGGTTACAAACATTAGACGACTTGGCAAATGTATGAAAATAGGACAATTGGAAGGCCCATAAAAGTTACGCTTGCTAATGTCGAACAGGTGAGTGAACTGATAAAAAAATGTCCGTCGTTGAGAAACTCTAGTGAATTCAAACATATTTCCATCTCTACTGACAAAACGCCACGTCAAATGAATTTCTATAAGACTCTCAAATCTGAACTGGAGGAAAGGAAGAATAAAGGAGAAACTAATTTGAAGATTAAATATGTTGGCGGCGTTCCGAAGATAGTGAATTTTTAGATTCTACACCCAATTATGTTAGTGAAATAAACTGCTATTACCAAAACGTTAACGGACTTAACTCTAAAACTTCCATTTTTTATAATAATTTAAGCTTGAATTGTTATTTTGATATAATTTTTCTTTCTGAGACATGGCTGAATGAAGGAGTTTTTAAAGCCGAAGTTTTTCCTACTGAATACACTGTATTTAGGAAGGACAGAAATTTTGCAGATACCCGTTTATCCAAAGGAGGCGGGGTACTCATTGCTGCCAAAAATTGTTATTTTTTTGAGCCTCTTGATTTGGATGGTATTCAGTTAGGTAGTTCTAAGATTGATTTAGTCGGTGGTAAACTTCATTTAGGGTTTCATACTATATACGGGGTGTTTCACTTTATTGTTGCATAACTTTAAGATTCGATAGAACTTTTAAAATTAATGCATAAAGTCTATATAAATATGGGTCGAAAAATGCGTGGCTTCCGAAATACAGGAATCAGTTTTTTCATTCAAAAAGCAAAAAATTGCACTAAGAAAAAAATTTCGGTCATTTTAATACACTGCAGGTACAGTAGAGAGCGCCGTCTAGCGGCTACAGTAAAACTTTGCCCATGGTTCGTTTTGTCGTACCAAAAAACCCTTGTATACCAATTTTCACTGTTATACATCAAATATTGTTCGAAATATTTAAAAAAAACTATTTTAGAAAGTAAATTTAAACACCCTGTATTTCGGAAGCCACGCATTTTTCGACTCATGTTTATATAGACTTTATGCATTAATTTTAAAAGTTCTATCGAATCTTAAAGTTATGCAACAATAAACTGAAACACCCTGTATAAGTGGATAAAACAATGAAATGCAACTAGAAAGAAAAATGTACTCGCTAACATGGTGATAATTTGGATGTCTTCCCCGAAGCATTTAGTGAATGAAAGTGCAATAACTAAAAATACCTGTACTACTCAGATCTTAGAAACAGCTTTCTTCACAAAAACTAAGAGATAACATTTTAACAAAGGTAAATAAAAACATAGATAAAACATTGACATTATTGCCACATCATGCTTTAAATATAGTCATTACGTTGCCAAAAAAGAACTTGAAGAAATTATTCTTTCTGGGTGTAACACTCCTGATGTCACCGAGTTTGAGCATAGTTACGTAAATATGATTTGTGGAACTTCCAGCAAATTCTTTTAAAAGGTGCTTTCCTTCCGTTATGAACTGGATACGCCGTTGATAGTGAGGATAAAATTGCATACTCAAGTGCTTGTCATAAGCTAATTCTTGACAGGTTTTTTTTATACCGAAGTAGATAGACCTTATATTCTGAACAGAGTAGAGTTGCTCAACTTTCGCTCGCTGTCCTCCGAGACCATGCTGAATTAAAAAATTAAAATTAAACTGGGATCATTCTTGTTCATCTATTCAAGTGTACAGGGAGAGAAAATACCCCATTCCAATGGCCTAAAGCTCCTCCCTATCCGACGTTAGTGTTGCAAACCACTCGAGACGAGGGGTCTCTAATTGATAGGTGAGGATGGAACGCTAAATGCGGTGGTTTACTAAATTAAAGGGACTTGATTGTACTGTTACACTTAACTAGTGATTTGAATGTGAATTCAAATATGGTGGAAAGGGGGAGCATCCCCTTTTGGGAACGTTTATGGAGAAGTGCAGAAGTCCGCTGATATGGACTTTACGCTGTTTTTAAACTTAGTAAATTAAAAAGTTTGCAAATTGTAAATCGGGAAGTCTGAAGGTATTTTTTCTAAAACCGACTGAAAAAAAATCGGTTTCCGCGTGCAGTTGGCATGCAAAATTAATGTTTTCCAGGAATTCTAAGCTAAGCGAAAAAGTTGCTGCTGATTGACGATGGAGCGATTCCGTACTTTCAGAATGCTAAATATAGTGATGGGTATGCATGAATTTCCATCAATCTGATAAAATAAAAATGTAAATTGTTGCGGTTGTAGGAAAAATCTCACCCGTATATGGCGTGTTACACCCTTTTTCCATCCTCCTTCTGTCAAGCCTAACACGCTTTTATTTGAAAACTTAAAGGAGCTTCATTATGATTCAAATATCTCCAATCGAGAAAAATGATTTTTAAATTTTCAATTCGTTTTATTAATTTAAGTTTTGCATATGGAAATAAAACAACACGGTAGGTAGTTTTAAATGACTTTATTGTTTTTCGAAGTATTCTCCACGAAGATTAATACACATCTGCATGCGCTCGAAACAATTTTCGAAGCACTTATTCCACTCGTTTGCTGGCAGATCGAAAACGGCATCTTTGACTGCGTCAACTGCTTCTTCTGGTGACTGGAATCTTTGACCACGCAGTCCGTTTTTAATTTTCGGGAAAGTAAAGAAATCGTTAGGACTTAGATTGGGACTATATGGAGGATGGTCCAATAATTCCACGTTTTCTTCCGTTAAATACTGCCTTCATTTTTGGGCTGTGTGCATTGTCTTGGTGGAAAATGATTCTTCTTTCGGGGTTGATTTTTCGAAGCACCCTGATGACTTTTGGCAAACAAATGGTGGTATACCAATCCGCAGTAACAGTTCTTCGCTCATTAAGAGGAATTGTTGCAATATGACCCGCTTTTGACACAAATGTCGCGACCATCTTTTTCGAAACACTTCGAGAACGGATAACTTTTGTTGGCTTTTTTTAAGCTTGGAACACCCAAACAGCCGACTGTCGTTCATTTTCTGGTTCATAACAGTAAATCCACGATTAATCACCACTAACAATGCTGTACACATTTTTTGAGTTTCCGGAATTTATTTATTTATTTACAAATTTACGGGATAAACCCATTCGGTTACAGGTTGTAAAAGTACAATCTTAACCTAATAAAATTCACAGACATCATAAATAAAGTATCTAACATATGAACATAAAGTTTGACTATTTACTAAATTAAAATATTAAAATATTAAAACGTGCATAAAAATAGTTACAAACAAATACTAAAAAAAAAAAAACTAAAAAAACTGAACAACTAAACAACACAGCAAACATCACCAGCAATTAAGACATTTTAAAACTTTAGCTAAGATTTCTATCATTAAGGAACTTTTTGAGAGACCATAGTGAAGTATTAAAAAGGTCTATATCACAGTCATTACAATTTCTCATTATCCTATCCATGCTACTATTCGAGCCATACAAAGTTCTATGCCGGTCAAGCGTTTTTTGACACCAATTAACCCTGGCTGCTTTCTGCTCTTCAGTCAACAGGTGGGGTATCCAACGAGAAACTAATTTCCTTACTCCTAATTCTTCATTTAAAATTTTTTGAATCGAGGTCTTTGAGATCTTCAAGGACGGATCAATCTCGCGATATGTCACATGTCTATCTTCAATAATGAGTTTGTGCACAGCATCGACGTTTTCCTGGGTGACTGCCGTTTTTGGTGCACCCACCCTGGGATCGTCGCTAAGACTCACCCGTCCACCTTTGAATTCTCCATACCAACGGGAAATTGTCGACTGATGTGGCGCTTCGTTGCCGAAAACAGATAATAACTCAGCAAGGCATTCTTGTTGCGATAATTGTCTCTGAAAGTTGTAATAAATTATGGCGCGAAAATGTTCTCGGTTGAGTTCCATTTTCCTAATGACTTGGTGACACTGCACGTATTGTTGTGAAACTTTGAATTTAAGTTTACTACAGAATGAGGTTAAGATTCAGTACTGACGTTCGATCCGCGCGGACTACTATGTTTCTAGGGTTGTCCAATAGGGACGCAGGAAAGTAAACGTCAATTTGACATAGACGCCAGCTTTGTTTTCTGTCACCGACATGTCATTTTGTTAGTTGAATGTTTGCCATTGATCGCTATGGAGTCGTATTCGATTGAAGTCCGCATTAAAGTTATTCAAGAGCACTACAAAAGTGGTGCAAAAATAAAAAACACGTTTCGCGCGCTTCGTGAACATTTCGGTCGCAACAACCGCCCAAACGAAACAACCATCGGTCGTCTGGTGCGTAAGTTCGAGGCAACAGGTTCTGTGGCAAATCTGCCAGGCTCTGGCCGGCCAAGGAGCGTTCACACACCGGAAAATATTGCTGTTGTGAAGTAGAGTGTGAGAGATGAGCCGAAACAATCAACAACGCGTCGATCCCAAGAATTGGGCATTTCGAGAACCAGTTTGCTCCGCATTCTCCACAAGGATTTGAATGTACACGCCTACAAGATCCAATTGACGCAAGAGCTGCGTCGGGCCGACCATTTTTCGCGCCGAACGTTCTCAGATTGGCTACTTGAACACCGCCAAATTGATGCCAATTTTTCATCAAAAATCATGTTCAGCGACGAAGCGCATTTCACTTTGAATGGGACGGTAAACAAGCAAAACTGCCGCATCTGGGCGAACAAAAATCTCCGTGGGTATCAAGAGCAGCCGATGCATCCTCAAAAAGTGACTGTGTGGTGTGCATTGTGGTCAAAAGGCATCATCGGACCTTACTTTTTCGAAAATGCGGCCGGGGACGCCGTTACCGTCAATTCTGAGCGATATCACGTGATGATAGAGGACTATTTTTTGCCGCAACTTGAAGGAATGGATATGGACGATGTTTATTTCCAACAAGACGGTGCAACATGCCACACAACCAACGTCAATATCTATCGATTGCAGTCCTTCTTCGGTGATCGCGTAATTTCGCGCAGAGGAAAT